GAAAAATCCGACGTTACAGACGATTCTCAATCGAGCTGGTAAGTCAATGAACTTACTTTATCCATTTCATTAACTGTACAGTGTCAGGATCGTAGAATTCTCTCAGTTCTTCGAGTTCTTTCAGAGCATTGGGGAGACGCTGAATAAAAAGTGCAACAGGCAATAAAAATATATTAACAACTTCGAGATTCAAAAGACATTCTGTCGTGGAACCACAATAACAAACTTTACACTGAAAGAAAACGGCTTCAGCAAATCCCGACCTCAGCTTAAGAGTACCATACTTACATTGTAGAGCAGAAGAGCAAGAAGCATAACAGGAACGCCATGACCCATGACCTTTCCCTGGGAAGAGAGATAAAAAAAGCAATGACTGTATGGACCATTATCGTACTTAAAAATGTCAATACTTAGTTGTGGTAATGAAACTGTGAACTATCGGAATATGAAGTCTCTTTCGGCGTGTTAAGTCCAGCTGCAACAAATTTTTCTTTCAAGCATTTCGTTATGCTACGATACTGCGTCCATGATTTGCCTCACAGTGTGTTATATGTATTATAGCTAGTAAATCAGTACTTCATATTCCCATTATGCACGCTGATGACGTGCATGTACGCATTGAAGTGAAACAGGGGGAACCCCTATTCTTACAATATTTAAGAAAAATACGTTGAAATGTTATTGAAACAGCTGGTTCATGCGTCAGCTGCCAGTTATTCCAGACACAAAGTACTCGTAAAGTTCAGAGAGCACTCAAGCTCTAGATGATCTCGGTTACGCCTTGGGCAACTCTCGCGCATGCTTCGAGCTTCCCAAACTACCTGTGTGCTTCATTGAGCAATTTTAAACTGAGTGTCGAAATTAATCCGGGATTATTTTGGTTGCTTCACTTCGCTCAGTCATTGGTCCAGATAACTCACGCCACTTACTCGCCCAATCAGATGCAAAACTAAAACCAATGGCGACTTGGTCGCCCGCGTTTTCCCGCCCTTACGACAATTTACTTGGTTTGACTTTGCGTTATTTACTGTTAAAAGTACTTTACTTTCTTCTGATTGGCTGTTGTGATTTCTTTAGTTTTGGTTTCATGACACTCAATCGAGAAGCGCTCTATCCCGATGAACCAAATTAATTAAACGTTACTTCTCTCAGCCACTCCCCGCAATCACGATCAAGTCAAGATTCTCTTGGACAAATTGAATTTCCGCAGCATCGAGTAAAGATACTTACATATATTTGCTTGATTCCTACTTTGTTCAGAGCCGCTTTCCAGAAGGCCTGGTTGCAGAATATTCCGGCGGCAAACAGGCACATGTGCGGTATCCACAAATACTTGAAGCGGACAGTGGTGATAGCTAGCGCACCAAAGAAAACGCTCTGTATGGCTTGATAAACTACCTCAGGATGAGAGTTGAGGTAAAGACATTTGGTTTCTTCAGCAGTATCCTCAGGTTTAGATCTGAAAAGATTGGTTGAAGGAGCCCATATATTAACGCGATAATCAGACAAAAATACACAGCATTTGCGCAAAATTGAAATATGCATGAGCAAAATTCCATCGTTTACAATAAATTGCTATCTTCTACAACCTCAGCAGGCCTTGTTCCTTTTTTTTTCGTTTTTGCTTAAAAGATCTTAAGTCTTTATTAAGGAAGCAACGGCCTAACTGACAGGGATTTGGTAAGGAATCTAAGGTTCTATAGCAAAAAAAGTGATAAGAGATAACAGCTTAATAATTAAACGTCGTTAACCCTTTCACTCCCAAGATCTCATAAGTAATTCTCCTTATTATCTGCCATACAATTCTTATAAGGTTGGTTCGGAGGATTTGGCATTGGATGAACTTAGAGTCCCCTGATTGATATGTTTCTTAATTCTCATCACTTTTCTTCTTAATATTGTGTTGATATTGTGAGGAGAAATTCTGTCTTGGTCACTTCACGGGAGTTAAAGGGTTAAGGCACAACATCTTACCTCCAATTCATGAATACAGTATAGGCCAACAGAAACAGTACAGCTAACAAAGACACGACATAACACGGGAAAACTACACCGGTGGTAAGTCTCGAGTAGACAGCCAAGGGACAGAATTGGAATGCTTTTTCACAAAGATACAGCAGCGAATCGAAATCCCTGGAGAGAATTCACAAGAAAATTATTAGGCAATGTCTTAAGGGAGAGTCTAAATTTTTGATCGTTTTAATTTCATGAAATTCGAGAGTCGAGTTTTTAGGGGGTTGGGTGAACAAGTTGGATAGAAGAATGGGTAAGTGGTGTGGGCAACAGGCACAAAAAAAGCCTTGTTATTTAGCCCTTTGCTTTGTTCGAAATCACAAAGCAAACAGTATTTAACTTCCAATGGACAATGAATACGTAATCGTGAAAAAAGGAGAGGAAACTCTATACATTTTGTTTGTTTAACTCAAAAAGCTCTAATCAATAGTAACATACCTTCCAATACCGTAACCAAACTTCGACTTAAGGAACTTGAAGATGTGCTCATCGGATTCTATTCTGAATATAACCTGCAAGAGGATAAACGTTTAACTGACTACAGTGCTAAAACAACAGAAGCAGACACCCCATTCAACAGTTCAGGGCACAGTTAAACACACAAGGAAAAATACAAAGAAGGAATACTAGACACATGAAATATAAAACATGTTACGAGTGGGAACAAGCGCAGACAAAGCAAGTCACTTAAGAATAAAGAAAATATGGTGCTACGTCAGTGGAGGTATCACAAGATAATTTGGTTTCATCATCTGAGTTGATCATATAAATTGAGGATCAATCAGTATCTGGGCAACTGCCCACCTA